GATTGTTTATTAAAATTTAATAAAATAATACTTAAAGTTATTCACTATATATGTAATTGTACTAATAGGTAAAAATCATATACATATGAAAATATAATTCAATACAATCCAACATACTAAAAGAACTAGGTATAAACTTTTGTTTCACTTGAAAAATTTGTTCCATAATCTGCAAAATGACATAATTTATTTTTCAATTAGAATTGATTAAAAAAAGAGTATTAAGTACACATTGGTTGAATTGAGCCTAACATCTTCTCAATTGATTTTTTTCACTCATCCTAATTTTCAAAACATAATTTTTCAAATCAAAAATCATAATTCATAAAATATAAATTATTTATCATAAATCACAGTTATCCAAAAAGACTAATGACACAAATTACAGATAACATTCAACATTCAACAAGTCAAGTAAAACTGTAAAAATAGTCAACAAAATAGAACAAAAACAAAACCAAAAAAATCAAGAGAAAAGCTGAGAAAGAGAGTAAGAGAAATGTGCTCGCCAATCGTCGATGTTGGTAGCAGCAGCTTCGGTGGCTCCTCGTCCTCGCGGGTCGCGACCTTGCTTGTCACCTGTGGCGTCACCATGCTGATAATAGCAGTTGTTGCGACGCTGCCTCTGCTTCGAATGGAAAATTGGAAACTATAGAATAGAATTGGGATCCTTTAGGTTTGCCTTTCACGATTTATAATTGAATTCGAGTTGGATTTGGACCATTTGTTATTGATTTGGGGAAAATGCATATGAAATACCATATGACCATGATTCGTTGATTTGGGCGTAATGTTTTTAAACAAAAAAGAGGCCATGTAATCACTCTACACTCATCTACGCCAAAAATAAAATAAAAAATCAGTGTCATCTCTTCCTTTTCCTCTTCCATTTCTGGCTATGCAAGTGTGTCTGCAAGTGCAAACTGCATGTCTATCGTCTGCTACCAGACGATACTGAACATTCTAGCTAAGCCAGCACATGCAGTCGTGCTCCCTTGTCGGGTGCTGGCTTCACCGTTGTTCATAGTTTCATTAAAAGTAATTACAATAGTTGTGTGTACTTTAAAAAGGAAGATAGTGTATTGATTATATATATATATATAATTTTTTTTATCGGTAAATGTAAATATCATTAATAAAAAATGTTCCATATACAAGTACATCGGACATTCCCGAGCAATCAAAAGTACATTAACACATAAAATTACTTCGGGCATACCCAGGAAATACAAAACAAGTGAAGTGCATAAAAAGTCAATGACCCAATGCTAAAGACTCGAAATGGATCAAGACATCCGGATACGAAGTCAACGTAACTTTGTATATGTGTGTCTTGATCCGTCTCACAATGCAATCTAAGTTGGCCGAAAGATCTTCAAAAAAATTTCCTATTCCGTGTTAACCAAATGTAATAAACAGTTATAGCAAGAGCAATCATCTTTGCCTTACTTAACCATGACGTCCCACGGGCCTCCATTTTCAACCACTTAAGAGCTATTGATTATATATTTGTTATTATATATTGATGATATGCTCATAGCAACCAAAGATAAAGTCTAGGTTAGAAAGGTGAAATCTCACTTAGTAAGGAGTTTGAGACGAAAGATTTGGGTATAGTGAAGAAAAATTTTGGTATGAAAATTTTGAGGGATAGAATTGCTGACAGATTGTACTAAAGTCAGAAGAGGTACATCCAGAAGGTGTTTCAATAATTCAATTTCCTAAATATTAAGGTTGTCAGTAATCCCTTGGTTGTCCACTTCAAATTATCATCTAGTCTGTATCATTAATCAAATGAAGACATTGATTATATATCTGAGTTTCTTATTCCAGTGCAGTTGGTTCGCTTGTGTATACCATGATTTGTACAAGACCAGATTTGACATATGAAGTTAGTTCAGTTAATAGGCACATTACAAATCCTAACGAGAAACATTGAAAATAGTGCAATAGATATTCGGATACTTGAAGGGCTCTACTAATGCTAACTTACATTTTGGTAGAAATATAGATGAAATCATTGAGTATGTGGATTCAGATTAGGCAGGGAATCTTGATAATAGGAGATCACTTACAGGGTATGTGTTTACTTTTGGACTTTGTGCTATTAGCTAAAAAGCTATTTTGCAAAATACAGTAGCTTTATTTGCAACAGAAGTAAAGTAGTAGCCATTACAGAGACATATAAGGAAGTTATATGGTTGAGAGGATTGATTGGTGAAATAGTGAAGACTTGTAGATTTCTACAGTATATTGTGATAGTCAGAGTGCTATTTTTCTAACTAAGGAATAGATATTCCATGAAAGGACTAAACACATTGATGAGAGGTATCATTTTGTGCGTGATGTAATTACTCGTAGTGAGTAAGGTTGATACCAAAAATAATCCAACTGATATGATGACAAAATCACTTCTCATTGCTGAGTTTAAGCATTACTTGAACTAAGTTGGTGATTGACATTGATTTAGTCTATTGGAGCTTGTTTAGAAGAGGGGGAATGGTGTTTACTTTAGAGATTATTTTTGAAATTTCTTGT